TGGACCGCCTCCTGTGTTGACCTTTGGTGGGGATCAGCTAGAATTTGTTCAGAAATTCAACTACCTGGGAAGTTGCATCAGCGTCCTTGGGATAGAAGACGAGATCACGAACCGAGGTGCTTTTGCGAGCCTTCGCGACCTATGGTGCCGACGCCACATCTCTTTCCCTGATGAACAGTGTGTACAATGCAGTCGTACGTTCGATCCCACTGTACGGTTGTAAAACTTGGCCTATTAGACCAGCCGACATAAAGAGGCTAGTTACGTTCGACCATTGGTGCCTTCGCAGTATGGTTCACATTTGGTGGGAACACCGTGTGAGCAATGATCGTGTTCGACGCCTTGCTTAAGGTACAGGAAAAAGAACTGAACCGCTCAGCACCGTCATTTCACGCATCAGGCTCCGATCGCTGGGCCGAATGTTACGCATACCAGCCCATCGGCTCCCGCAACGTGCGTCGTTTGCGCGCCGGGACTGAGAATGGAAGAAGAGGAGAGGTGGCCAAGTGGTGACTTGGTCGAGAGAAATGAATGCCCTCACTTCGAAGTTAGCCTCGGTTGGAGCGTATCGGCTCCCTGGCTGCGGTCCGAAAAACGATGAACACATTTGGCTGGATAAACTTGCTGACATGGCTAGGAGCCGACCTCAATGGCGTTCGTGTTGTAAGTTTCTTTGTTCCACCCCATCCCTTTTAGCCTTCTCCTCAAACTACGATCGCATTTCTTAGCATAATATAATATACATAATAATTTTTTGCTACATAGTAGCCGGCTGGTAGTTTTCGGGAACGATGGTAGCTCAGCTGGCATGCATCTGTTGAATGTTTTTTCTTTTATGTATTCCTGCACCTCTAGCTAAGGTGTATAGTGATGATGAATCAAAATTAATATTCCATGCCTAGCTAATTTACTACGTTTTAGTTTCCCCAAACGTAAAAGTTCCCCAACGAACTTTGGCTATGGTCCCGGTTCAGCTACTTGGCGTCTTAGAAGGCTGTCAGCATGGAAGTTAGCTACCAAAACTCTGACCACGTCGCAGTGTCTATCAAAATGCAGAGCAATCAACGGATATTACATTTGAACGATAGGGGTTTTTTGTGTAAACGTCTGATGTGCACCGAAATCCGCTTTCAAATGGGACTTTTCAAGCGATGGTAGCGACTAGATTTCACCCCTTATTTACAACATCAACAACTGCAACGTAAGGGTGGTAATGTTAAAGACAAAGTTACGATGATTAAGTGCTGAATAAAAGTAAAAGTATTTTAAGATTCTTCGCCAGCTAGTGCGAGTCTTGGACGATGTTAACTATACCAAGACATGGCGACTGCCAACCTGACACAACCCACGTACACAGATCGAGCACATTGCATAGACACTACTGGACAAGAGACCATTGTATAGTGTGGAATACTAAGTGCTAAGTGGTTGAGTGGTTAGTTGGAGCTCGATGGTCGCACAGAACAATGGTGTGGAGGTATAGACGTGAACAGTCAGCAGGTTAAGGTCAAGTCAATCCAGGATAAGCTTTATCCATTAATGTGGGAGCATTTTCAGCAGGACTCTAACGTTTACAGGTTGACTAAAAACCATTGGAAGTAGACCTGAGATTATCGGCCTAAGGAAATGGGACATCGCGTAGAGGAAATGTTAACCTTTAGAACAAACACCGGAGCCAGCATGCGGCGCGAATATCTAAGCGCAATGGAAGTCCGGAAGGGGTGTAAACATTGGAACCGTTCATAGAAGAATAAAAAAGGGGTTCATTTAACGGAATAATTCAAGAGATCATTAGGTACGGTATCACATGTAGGGAACAAACACTAAGGTACAGCAAAATGGTGAAATGCTTGTTGTGGAGAGAGAATCATCACAAGACTCACCTTAGCGCCCTGGACATAGGGATGAGAATCATCATCAATACCCCAGGATTCCATCTAAATTGACGCAGTAATGTCAATCGGGCTAATCCATCCCAATGAGGCTGAACATTAACGTAGTGCGATGCTTTGAGTGCCTCAGATCCAGTGAGCTATGCTGGGTGGCACTTTTTGCATCTTCAGAATCACTGCTTCCAGACTGGTGAATAGTTAAAGGTCAGACAAACTCAGCCTCCTGGTCCTCTAGGTTGGAGTGAGCGTTGCTTCTTATTTCTTAAAAGGGACCCCCTGTAGCCCAGTGCCAAACCAGCTACCTAGAAGTCAGGTTTTTGATTCATCAAGAGACCTGGTGTCAGTGAAACTATACGTGACGAGAGTATACAGTCTATCCAATTGTTAAAACGTTTGGAGCGGTGGGTTTGCAAGGCAATTGAATCGACCAGAATCGGCAAATTTCTCGCCGACCACTAATCGCCATGCTCCCTGAGCTGTCTCCCTTTGGGTTCGTCCTCTCACTCAGAAGTCGAACGTGAGATCGAACTGTTGGAGCTTAATAGGGCCGAGGGACCAGATGATTCTCCTCCAACCCTCTTCAAATTTGGGGGACTTGCCCTTATGGATGGCTTACACTAGTTATTATTGAAGCTGTGGGAGCAGAAAACTGTCCCAACCGATTGGAGTCACTCCATTATTGTCTCGATCAGCAAGACATGCTCACGTTCGGAATGCGGCAACCTAGAGGAATCACACTGATCGCCATCGCTACCAAGTTGCTTGCCTTTGTCATCCTTCACAGATGGAATACCATCCATGAAAGCCAGATTTGTGAGGAGCAAGACGGGTTTCGTCGAGGTCGGGGCTTAACTGATCACATCTTCCCTTTACGTTGTCGTGTTCCTCGACATCCAAGGTATCTTTGATTCAGTGAAACAATGTGTTCTTTGGGACTGTCTGCTGAGGAAAGGTGTGCCAGAGAAATATGTAAATATTACCCGACCGCTCTAGGTGCGTAGTTCAGGCTTACGCCAAGCCGTTGTTGCGATGTAAGACAGGGATGCTTGCTATCACCGTTCCGCATAAAGGTAGCTATTAATGAAGTCATGGAAATCGCGTTCACAGGACACGATAAAAAAGTGTGAAGTTGCTTCCAGGTGAACGACTTCGTGACTAGGAGTATGCTGACGACATTACCCTCATCTGTGACAACTCACAAACGTGCCATGCAGCCCTAGACAGAGAAGCCCCGGCCATAAGCCGTTTCGGGATATGCTTTGCACCCTCAAAATGAAAACCTTTCTTTCGAAATTGGCAAACACCGCCTCGTGCGCTACCCCTTGGTGGCTATCAGCTAGATGAGATTCAAATAGCTGGACAGTTAGAGCAGCACCTGTAGAATCGAAGACGAAGCCACGAACTGTATAGCAAAAGCTCTAGGTGCTTTTGCTAGCCTTCGCCACATATTGCGTAGGCACGACATCATTCTCTCCCTAAAGGGTAGGTTGGACCCTACTGTACAGTTGTGAAACCTGCCCCACTAGATCGGCAGACGTAAAAAAGGCTCATATCTGGTGGGAACACCATGCAAGCAATGAGTGTGCGCAGCGCCCTGTTCATAGCACAGAAAGAGGAAGTGAACAGCTCAGCATCGTTATTTCACGAACCAGGCTCCAATATCTGGGCCAAGTGTTGCGTATGTCAGCACACCGACTCCCGCGACGTGCGTTGCTTGTGCGTCGAGGGTGTGGATGGAAAAAGAGGAAGAGAGGCTAACCGACGATATGGTCAAGAGGAGTGAAGGTCATTAGTTCGAAGTTCGGCTCAGTTGCAACCAGAAAGAGGATGAACACGTTTGGCTGCATAGACTTATTGATATGGCTTGAAGTTGAGCTTAATGGCGTTCGTGTGGAGAGTTTGCTTATCACTCTCCTTCCCGCTTATCTTCACCCTCCAACCATGATCTCATTGCTGACATACAGAACTATTCCGCGACACAATAGACGACTTATAGCTCTCCGAAACGAGGCCTATCCGTTACAAGTGGCTCAGCTGGAGTGCGTCTGTTGTACCTTTTTCTCCTTTATCGCGTATTGCGGCGAAAGAGCTGTGTTTTCCACCTCTAGCTAACATGTGTACAATAAGAAGAAGAAGAAAGTGTGGTCAAAACGTTACAAGCAGAGGCAGCCAGTTGACTGCCATACAGGTGTCATGAGAAGCGGTCGCAGTGTAAGTTTTCGAGTTACGCCTAAGATGTAATCAACGTTCCAGTCTATTGTATAATGTTATATGTAGTCATAGTTGCGCCCGACGAGCATAAAATAAATCAGGATTAAAGAGTGCATTTTAAGCAATACACCAGAACGAAAGGATTGCGACTCATATTATCGGAGGAAGATGTACTGGAGTCAGTCAGGAAAGCCTAACTATCTAGAAAAATGACTCAGAACATTCGACTCCACCGTATGGCTAAGAAACCATACCACACAACTTAACAAAAAGCTTAGTAATGTGGGGCTACCGAAAAATTGTTGGTCTGGTGTGTACTTAGCAAGAGCAGCAAGCTAGCGACGACTCAACACATGTGTAAAGGTACAGCAATTGGGTCTGTATATGAGGCTCATCAGTGAGGCAAACTGCCTAAGTAACTCCGTTTATGCGACGAAAGCCAGACAGTGAAAAAGGGACCTACCGCGGAAAATGTGACAACCGGCCTACCCGAACTTGGGAACTGAGAGATGTGTCAATGCGAATCAAATAGGAAATGACAAGCGGGTGTGTTTGTGTCTAAGTTCATTAACGGTCACATAAACGCTAGCAGGACTTGATACGAAGTAGGATATTCACATTGTCATGTGTTATGCTCGATTTATAACCCATTTAGCTCCAATATAGTATATGGAACATTTCTCCCCATTTCTTCCCCGTCACAGAATCCGACTAGAGTATCGAAAAAACGAATACCTGAAAGCTCTCGCTGTCTGAGAATCTGACCGCGAAATCGAAAGAATCAGATAAGCTGTAAATTAATCGAACGAACGAGGTTTTATCAGTTGCACAAATGAATCAGACAAAATAGAGAGCACACACACATATAATACTTGCCTGAAGTGCGTGAGGTATTACCTAATGGAGTGTAGGATGGGGAGTATGGCGGTGTTGAAATGAGTGGAGAGGCGCGCATAGATGGTCGGCCAAGATAGACGATTGCGTCGAGAATCAGCATAGAGTTAAGCCAAAAGCTGTCAGCAGACATTGCGAAGAGAACCCTGTGTATCCCGTCAAACAATCCAAGGTCTTCCAGAACTAAACTTTGGTATACTTCATTGCGCGTTTCGTTGAGCGATGCGTTTCTCGATAACTGGTGTGGAGGAGAACAGGATCAGAAAAATAAAGTCACTGAACATTTGCAGGAAAGTGACAAGTGTACTGGTGACACTAAGATGCTGATGTTGCGGGGAAGAGTGAGGCGTTCCATGCACGCGAAGAAAATAAGGGCCATAGAAAGGCAAAAAACCTCGGAAAGAGGAAGTAATGTATGTGGATAGGAAAAATGTAACCAAGTACACGTAGGACATATAGATGCGCTCAAATTAGTTTGGCTGGAATAAGCAGTGCAGAAAGCAGGGCGAAATGTTTAGCACTAAATTTGAAGTGCTCGATAAGTTTTTCAACAACTACAGATAGGAAAGCTGTCGTCAGAAAGAAGGTAGAGTACTTGCACATGAGCAACCGCACTTGTGCTTTGTTGCCATATGCAAATAATAATAATAATATTACTAGATCAAATAGGCAAATAAATATATCGGTTGAGATTCCGTCTGGTCTGTATAATGCTTCGTTCCAGACTACTAGTTTCGTATCATTCTAGCAGAGTGTTCTAACCAGTAAATTTGGTGTAGACCCAAGCTTGAGCGCAGTACACAAATTGTCAAAAATAAATTTTATTAGTCCACATATTGTGAAAGCCAGAACCGTGTTCTTGGACATGCGACATGTAGCACGTCGGAAAAGGGTTCTTTCGGCCTGAAATGCCGCGTGTACAAGGTCACAGTGAGGGCCGTCCTGTCGTGTGGCAGTCAGAATTAGCCCCTTCGACCTGAGTGCCAGTGGCGCCATCAAGTTGCTGGTCATCATTGACTGCGAAACACTGATTGTGTCGGATGGCACCAGCGTGTCCGCAACGATGACCTGCGTAGGCGAGTGCTAGGCAAGCATACCCAAGCTAGTTCTTTAGAACAACAGATGGCACCAAATAAGTTGCGTTGGCTTGGGCACGTACTACGTATGCCCGATCACCGTTTACCGAGGAGGGCCTTGTTTTGTTTGCCAGATGTAGGGTGGTGCAAGGCACGAGGTGGACAAAAGTTAACTTGGCAGCGGGAAATGAAGTCATTGACGACCAAACTCGGTGCCGTCTGTACGTCTTGCCTTCCAGGGTGGGATCTACGTGACCTGCGTTGTGCTCGGCTCGAGACTTTACAGGAAACGGCTGGCAGTCGAAGCCAGTGGCGCGTCTGATGTCGTCTCCTAGTCGGACTGCTTATTTAACATGTGTTTGGTGCTGAGTTATCTGCGGGGTAATGGCTGATTATGACGCGTGGCAGTGAAAGCCATAAAAAAGCTGTTTCGCTGATGCCGCCTAATTTTGCACGACAGCCAGCTGTTTGTGACAGTTTGTCGTTGGCAAATTGAGGGCACTCGGACGCTGAATGTATGCTTAGGGCATTTAGATTCTACACTACACCCCATGCTTACCCTTATATTATTCTTCATCGCCTAGGTCCGTGTGATTGTGTGGCAGCAAAGCATCACTTAAAATGGTTGATGTACTGCTGTTGTTATTTAGTTTCATGAAATGTGGATATATTGTCGAAGCATCCTACACTAAGATGACGGACTAGCATGGTTTTCGCTTATATGTCTCTAACAAGACCGAAGTAACAACCACAGCATCACGCAGATGAGCGGTTTGGAAGTAAAAGGAATGAGAGTAACTGTGGGACGATTACCCCCCAACGGAAATGAGCACTAACTATCGGGGGTAGAGGATACCTCCCCTATACATCACATAGCGTTAGACAGCAATGAATAAATTACGTTGGATTAGGCACGTGCGAAGTATACCAGCGTTATCTGCGGTTTCGCTAAGCACACCTTCAACCGATGGATTTCCGCTCAATTTTCCAACTGATGGAACATCGCCGAACAATTTCTGCTGTGCAGAGCTACCAAGGCCGAGCAAAAACAGTAACTCAGAAAAGATCGCGACGCTTGGTGGATACAGCGTGTCATCGAGAGTGAACATACTGCATCCTCAGGGAGCTTCCTCAGACTTTCTCCCTTATTCGACTTACGGATGGCAAGAAACCAACTGTAAGCGAAGGTGGTAAGTAAAATTAGAGTTGAACCCAATTCAATCACCAGCGCCGATTTGTACGTTGGGTATAGCACTTCGAACAGCACTTTAACTGGCCACAAGTGTCATCGAGTGGCTATCGTTGTATCCATGGTGTTCCTGGTATGTAAACATCTCTCTGCCATCTGAAGTCGAAGTTGCCTATAAGCTATGTCTCCTGAAACCGACCCGACGAATACCGGCTTATTTCAGATATGGAGGCCTCTCTTTCCTTTCTGAATTGACTACCCTTCGTCAAGAGTTTCGGGTCAAAAAAAATCATCCCATCCGATTAGGGCTTAGCGGATTTTGTCTTCATCCTCAAAAGAGATGACAGAACGGATTGCCTAAACTACGCAGACAGCGTCGCGTCTAAACTGCTAGCCTCCCTACTTTTACGGAAGCTCAGCCGAGTAGGCGAACGGCATATACAAGAGCAGGCTAGGTTTCGAATAGGTAAGGGTTGTATTGATCACATGTTTACTAGCCGCCAGACGCTCGAGCACCGTCGAGCTTGTAGCCGGTCTAGCATGGTTTGCTTTCTGGACATACGCGCCGCATTTGATTCAGTTGACAGAGCTGCACTCTGGGGTTGTCTTCTGAAGATTTAACTTGCCCGTGAAGCACGTTAACATACTGCAAGTCATTTATTCTCGAACTATGGGCCCGGTGCGGGTGCACGGTGGGCTTTCAACCCTCTTCAGTATCACTAGTGCCTCGAAAAAGGGTCATCCCGCATCACGCTTCCAATTCAACTTCGCTATGGATGATACCTTAGAGAGTGCATTAGGAAACTGTGGGTATGGTGGCGTCGAGCTAAACCCGGGGGATCGGTTCCCTGACTTGGACTATGCTGACGACATTGTTGTAATCTGTGACTCTTCGCAGACTACCCAGGACATGCTGCGCATGTTGGAGATGTCCGGATCACAGTTCGGAATGACTTTCACCCTTTCAAAACGCAAGGTCTTCTTCCAGGACCGATCAAAAGCTGCGCTTACCCACATCCTCCCCGGTTCTTCTTTGGAATTAGTCGACAAGTACGTTTAAGAGTTGAATCAGCGTGAGCGGGCTAACGGATGAGATTTATCTACATAGTACCAAAGTCAGAGTAGCCTTTGTTAACCTCAGAAAACTTTGGCGCCGGCATAATTTCGGTCTTTCTATAAAAGCTCGAGTCCACAGTACGAGCAGTGATCCTGTATGGCTGCGAGACCTGGACCGTTCGAGCAAGCAATGTCCAGACTGTCTGTTTTCAAGCACCGCTGTATCCGGAGCATCGTTCGTGGGCGTTGGCAGTATCGCATTAGCAATGATGACGTTCAACATCAGATCTTCAAGTGAGACAGTCTCCGCCGACTAGAGAGCAGCATAATTCCTTGCGTGCGCTCCGGTGACTCACGCACGCCCTCCGTATGCCTACTCAACGGTTTTCCTGCCGCGCTTTGTTTATAGCGAGCACACCTGATTGGAAACGTAACCGAACATGGTCTGGAATCGCACCCAATGGAGAAGGCATTGTGACACTTTTACCCTGACTACTTTTCCTCCCCTTGTTTCCTTGCCTCTCACTGTGGCCAGCCACAGGACGCCTGCGCCTACAGAGGGACCATGGATGGCTTGCGCTGCATCACCCACAGCTCCATCCACACACCCTATC